GTCACCATTGAAACTTTAAAACGCAGTGCTTTATTTTCTCTTGCTAATATAAATTGCTACAAAAAAAGTATTAACATTACACTTCTTGAAACTAAGATTGTATTAATCTAGTAAAAGCCATTGTATTAATATTATTGCAAAATTCTTAACAACCCCCTAACCTCTAGTTCTCAAAGCTTGGCCACGGTCATGTGTGTCAGCATACTGTGCCGAGGTCACAAGGTTGTTAGCAACTGTTTAGCTAATGCTGATGCTATAGAAGAGGAGCAAAAAATGGAGCAGTCTCTCAAGGGCCCACCATTTGGTTTATTTGTCTGAAATCCGGTTCCGGGCTCTTGGGAACATCTGCAATTACAAGGGCTCTTACCTTTCGCTGTGAGCCATCTGTTGTAATGCACTGAGTTTAGTCCCCTGCTCCTCGTTCGTATTTATCTTACTGATGATTTTCATTTGGTGCAAGAGAAAACACAGTTGAGACTGTCAGCACTTTAAGACAACATTTATAGAGCTGCTCTCAATCCCCTAGTTTTTTATTAACAATTACGAAAACTGATGGTGGACTTATAAAATGGTCAATGCAGTTTAGACTAATTCTTGGATTGGATGAGCTTCATTCTGTTTTAATATGCCAGTAAACTTAGAAACTAGATAACATTTTGTGTTACTGCTAAGTTGCGTATTGTAAGGAGGAACAATATTACTTGTTTTTCCCTCAGTTATTAGAATAAATTGAGTTTACAATATTAAAATATTTGGTTTGAAATCTTTCTATAAATAAATTGAAATCGATTAAATACATAATTCAGATTTTTTTTTTCTGTGAGATTAAGTATTTGTGTGTGTAGATGTCACAGAGTACCTGCGGGGTCTTAAAAACATTGAAAAGGTCTTAAATTTGATAATCTCATATTAAGGCCTTAATAGCCTTGAATTTGGTGTACAAAGTCTTGGATTTCGTCACAAAGGTCTTATTTGATTTATTTATTTTTGCCTTTCGTAGAATTAAAGTTCATACCATAACAAAATTAACTTACTAATGTAGGCTAATTTAAAAAATCATGCAGCATAACGTTGAGTGCATCTCGCGCTCCACATCATAGCAGAAAGTGCATCGCCATAGTTTAGGCTACTATGGTGAGGGAGGCGAGCGCAGGTATTTACAACGCTCCAAGTAGGGCTGTGCAATTAATCGAGAATCCGATTTCGATTTTGGCTTCTAGCGATTATGAAAAAACCATTAATCGAGACAAATGATTATTGCATCATATATTGCCCCTTTCCAGTTGTACACGTGTTGCTCTTAAAAGCGCGAAAGACCGCATGGTTCTGTGTGTGTGTGCGGCACGCGCCAGCATTCGATCTCATTCGCACACTAAGACGAGCAAAGCGCACACATCTCATCTTAACGTGAGCACTTTATTGGTCAAATAGGTGTCAAAACGCGTTGTTTACTGATTATTCATATCAACCATCATTTGTGTAATAAACGAGTTGAGAATCAAAAGGAACGTGAAAGCGAAACCTTTAAAGTGACAGTGCGCAATTCCTGCTGCCACCTGTTTTTTCTCATTAATCAAGCAAAACGAGAAAATCCCTCACTGCTCTGGACCTTTGTAGCTAAAGTTATTTTTCTTACAGTGAAGATGCTTAAAGCACAGTTTGTTTCATATTTTTATTCGATTGTATTTATTTCTCTTTCCTTTGCAGGGTGGAAAATAGCTATATATGCAGTTGAAGTCAGAATTATTAGCCCTCCTGAATATTAGCAACTCTTTTCCTCCCCAATTTCTGTTTAATGGAAAGAAGATTTCTGAACACAATAGTTTTAATAACTCATTTCTAATAACTGATTTATTTTAACTTTGCTATGATGACAGCACACAATATTTATCTAGATATTTTTTCAAAATACAAGCATTCAGATTCAAAGTGTGATTCAAAGACTTAGGGTGCTTTCACACCTACACTTTTGTTTCAGAACGTGTCTCGTTTGCCCAGTTAGCACGGTTCGTTTGGCATATGTGAACAGGGCAATCGCGCTCTGTTCCGCGCCAAAGTAATCGCTCCGAGATCGCTTGAATGAGGTGGTCTCGGCTCGATTGAAACGAACCCTGGAGCGGTTCGATTGCAGTGAGAAAGTGATCCGATCCGAGCGCGGTTATATCACAGTGTTTTATGGATATGTAATAGGCTTACGGCTATATGAAGAGAGAGTTATGAGTAGGGCGGGAAGTTTCGTGAGTCTCCGGATGCCTGCAAATGAGTGATGATCTCCCGGTAATCTTGCATCTCCCTCCCGGTCCTCAAATAGGCATCGTCGCGCACCCTTTTCACCTCTCCTCACTGCATCTCTCCTCAGACACGTCACGCGCGCTCACCCTGTTAATCACCACCAAACCACCACCTCTCCTGACAGCTTAGCGGGACGCTGCAAAATAAACCCTGACACTGACCAAGGAGAGTTTACTCACACGTGACTTGTTTTAGCTCTTTTGGTCCGTTTAGAAACTTTGCAGTTTGAAAGCGAACCGCTCCAAGAGCAAAGAGCAACAATGTAACAATTGTAATCTCTGTTTCGGAACAACTGAATCGATTCACAGGTGTGAAAGCACCCTTAATTAGGGTAATTAGGCAAGTCATTGTATAACAGTAGTTTCTTCTGCAGATAATAAAAAAATATATTGCTTAAGGGGGCTAATATTATATACCTTAAAATGGGTTTCAAAATATTTAAACCTGCTTTTATTCTATTAATGTTAAAGGTTTAACAACTGCAGTTTTAAGTGAATTTGGAAAAATCCCTGAGAGAAGTGAAACATTTACCACGTTTTGGAGATCCATTTTGTAGGCAGTAAACACCATTTTGAAGAATGATGTGGAGAGCATGTCAAGACTGCAGGTTCAAGGGCTAAGGAGTAGAATTGGGATTGGGCCTAAGTATTATGACTGTAACCACGGGGAGTGACACAGACTACTGAGTTTGAATCCACTTACAGGTTTATTTGGATAGTCAGGCAAGCAATGGTCAATACGGGTGCAAACAGGTGTATAAAGGCAATCCAGAAACGTAGTCAAAATAACAGGCAAGAGGTCGTAAGGCAGGCGGCAGACTAGGACAAACGGCTAACAAGGCTAAACACAGGAAACCAAGACAGCGATAACGCGTTGTATTGTCAACTTACAGATAAACAAGACTCAGCAATGAGGGTTTCAAAGTGAGCTGTATATGTGTGTGTAATCAGTACATGAGCAGCATCAGCTGTGTGTATGCAATCAGTCAGGATCTGGAACCGGTTGTGTGTGTGGAGCATGACTGGTTCTTGTATTCCATTTATCAGCAGATTTGTAGTTCATGTGGATGTGTGTGTTTACCAGCGACCTCTGGGGGTTTTATTGCTGATGAACATGACAATGACATTATTGTAAAGTGTTACTAAAAATGTATTTACAGTCTGTAGTAGTTTTTATTTTATTTTATTATTATTAATGTATTTTCTAAAAAACCAATGTATTACTGAAAAGCTTATTCCATGTCTAAGGAAAATAATGTAATAACTTTTTATTTTCTTTTTTTTTTGTACAAATAATAAAGTTTTCTTGCAGGGCCAGCTAAAGGAATTAACCTAATTGATGTAATTTTGAGGAAAGTAATCTTTCAACTGTGTTGTGTTTTTCAGAGTGTTTTTATAATACTGTACTAATTGACACATCACAGCACAAATTACTGTAAAATAATATATGAAGAGTTCCGATGCAAAACCCTCTGAAACTGCGTCTCAAATGGCACACTATACACTATGCAATCATGCACTGCACATACTCAAGAGCATAGTATATGTTTGTAGTGCCGTCCCAAATGGAGCACTAATGTTTTTTTACTAAGCAGAAATTCAAACCGTTTCCCTGATGTGATGTTTGATGGCTGCCAAATCAGTGAAATAAATGACCAAACTATCAAATAATCCCTGCCGTGAGTATAACCGCATTCACCATCGGGAATTTTGCTTTCACCATCCAAAATAAATAAAGTCATCCAACATGTGTGCCCGATAGCTCCGCCCCTTCCGCTACGTGAGCAAACCTGCTGTCATTAAATGCGTGAAGTGTCCATCGTTACACACTTCATTTTAGCGGCTGAATGAGTGCATCCGGGTAATTAAAGTACACTTATTATTTTTAGAGTTTTCAGTGTGAACGCACTACTTACACTGTTTATACAACAAAATGGTGTAGAATAGTGGATAAGTATGCGATATGGCACGCAGCTGATGTCAGGCATGTCCAAGCTTGGTCTTGGTGGGCCGGTGCCCTGTAAAGTTTAGTTCCAACCGCAATCAGACACACCTGGGCTAGCTAATCAAGCTCTTACTAGGCCAGGGGTGGCCAACCCTGTTCCTGGAGAGCCACCTTCCTGCAGATTTCAGTTGCTACCCATATCAAACACACCTGCCTGTAATTATCATGTGGTGTTCAGGTTCTAATAATTGGTTCAGGTGTGTTTGAGGTCAGGCCACCCCTGTACTAGGCTTTCTAGAAACATCTTTGCAGGTGTGTTGAGGCAAGTTGGAGTTAAAATCTGCAGGACACTGAAGCTAGAGAAGCTAGACATAAATGTGAATTTTAGAAAAAAAAAAAGATTCAGATGACACCTACAAGCTTTTGCATCTGAACTCTTCATATATTATGACACATTTTTGTGTTCAATTGCCATTGATAAGCCAAATGTGATCAAAATAAAACATAATTTCTTTGGCTTTAGCAGGCAATACATTTCACTAAATGTAACAATGGCATTTTTATAAAGCCAGTTTTAATATATCTAAATTTTATATCTTAAACTTCATATTTCTACATTTTTAAATGTGTTAACTCAGTAGTTTGATAGGTTTATTTATTTATTTTTTTTACTTCATGTTGTGTAAATTACACAAAGTCCACATTTAGTTACATTGGTTAAAAATTATTTTAATTGTTTGTTCTTTCTTTTTTTCTGTAATCAGGTGGGATCGTCAACGTCATGCCTTTTTTGTTTTCTGAAATCTCCAATGTTAAATCTCAGGTATTATTATAATTAAAATCATGCCAAATTCCTTTTGTTATTAAAAGACTACTGTAAATGTTATTATATATTAAATTAATGCTATATTTTGATTGTACAGGTCTTATGGTTCAGAAGATCTGTGCTCGGAGGACTTGCTACATGCACAATCTTAAACATACTATGGTAAGTTGTTATGTTCTTTTTTTATTATAAAATTGCATTTTATCATAATTATGCCATTTAAAGAAATAGCTCATTCAGTTTGAACAGTTGCCACGCTTAGTCGCCTGCATGTTATTATACACGTATGACTTCTTCTACACAAAAGAAATTTAGCTAAATTCAGCTCTCCAGAATAACAAATGCACTTTTAGAAATACCAAAACTCAGCCCACTTGTGCACTTTAGTCCATGCTTTATAAAGTAATACAATAATTTTGTGAGAAACTGACCAGTGTTTTTTTTTTCTTTTTTTTTTGTCATTATTCACTTTCTAGAATAAATTTGTGACTGTAGACCACAAAACCAGTCAAACATGTTTTGTTTTTCATCATCTGAAACCTAAATAAATAATATTTTATGCTTTGCTAAGATATAATAATGTTTTATTGTGGGCTTTTGAAGAATTTGGAATCTGAGGAGTCAGATTTACAGATGATGGACTTGAAAATACTGACAACTAACTATTTTATTGAGCAAAAACTCAAAGAACGGGCAAGGAGATCTCCTAGTACACTCTACATGCTCTTTTCACACACTCACGTGCACAAGCAAACACACTCACACACACACACATTACCTTCATTCTCCAGAGGTCCGTAAACAAAGCGGCACGCATCATGTTTTCCACGTGCCTTTAAACGCGATATGAGAATATATAAAGAAGGTTTAGAATCTCCCAGGTTTGTGTGAGCAACTACTTGTGTTTCGTGGATATGTCTCGTTATCAAGACGACGCGTTTGAAGCACTATGAGTCGACTCTTTTATAGATGAATCAACCGTTTTATACACTGTGCACTTAGAGATTTAAGCCTTAGCTGGATATTTCACTTAACTTAGAGCTGTGTTACACACTACATGGAAGATTATCAAAAAATGTTTACAGTGGCCCCAAGGGATTTGTGCCCCAAAACTACAAAAAAAAAAAAAAAAAAAAAAGATTAATACATATTTCTTAGTTCTCAAAAATGCATCCCTGGGCACATATTTCCAATGAGACTGGGTTCATCGATTCTTTCATTTTCTTTTTGGCTTAGTCCCTTTATTAATCAGGGATCGCTACAACGGAAAAAAGCGTCAACTTATCCATCACATGTTTTACGCAGCAGATGCCCTTCTCGCTTCAGCCCATCACTGGGAAACACCCATACACAATAATTCACACACACAGACACACACACACACATACACTTCGGACAATTTAGCCTACCCAATTCACCAATTCCGCATGTCTTGGACTGTGGGGGAAATGAAAGCCCTCAGAGCAAACCCACGTGAACACAGGTAGAGCATGCAAACTCCACATAGAACTGCCCCAGCCCAGGCTTGAACCAGTGACCTTCTTGCTGTGAGGCGATCGTGTACTCACTCCGCCACCGTGACGCCTGTTTAAGGAAAATGTTCACTTTTGACCTATACAATGTATTTTTTGGGCTCTTTCCAAATTAACTGGATTTGTGATTCAGGGTCACATAAATTATGAATCTAGTCAAGTTATCTCATTGCAAAAATGCCCTTCAGTGTAATTTACCTATAGAACTACTGTCAAAATCAAAGTTGACAACACAAAGCCTTCCCTGTTCACTTGTCATGACAGAAACCCTAAACGGGTTTAAAGTGGCTCAGAAAAAGCAAAACCGAACATTATAAATCTTCAGGACGGGCAGACAGGAGATGGAGCTGTCCACTTGTCCCTGAAGTCCCTCTGATTTTAGCACACCCTGAAAAACTCCAACACACTGACGCTTCATCTAATCATCTGTAAAGGAGTTATTGAGTTACCAATCAGCACTATGTTACTCAGGAGACCCAAAGCAATTATGTTGGAGCAGATGAGATGAAATGAGATCTCATGTCGGCCTCTTTGGAGACCCAGAATGCACTGCTGCAGCCCTGCCACTATGCCAGGGCTCTGTCTTTCTCTTCTTTCGCTGAGATTTACACTCATCCGCTGACGGCAGGCAATCTTTCAGCTTGTGTTTGACAATGGACTTGCATCAGCTTTTCAGGCCGGCTGAATCGATTGTTGTTTGAAGGCTTATGTCGATACATAACCACACATTGTTTCCTCTACAGAGGCAGGACTGGGACTGTTTAGTCTAAATAAAGATTTAGTGATATTCTGGATCTTTTTGACAGCAAGGTTACATAATGAAATATTTACTGCAGGAGTTCATTTAAGATTTAACATGCTTAAATCTGAAGCATAAAAATACCATAATATACAGTTGAAGTCAGAATTATTAGCCCCCCTGAATTATTAGCGCCCCTGTTTATTTTTTTCCCTAATTTCTGTTTAATGGAGGGAAGATTGTTTCAGCACATTTCTAACCATAGTAGTTTTACAAACCTATGTTACGACCACAGTCACAACTTTAAATGAGGGAAAAACACAAACGGATCAGTCTAGGGGTTTTATTAATTAAACAACCAAATATAAATAAAGTGTGGGGAGAAAACACAATAAACAAAGGCTGATAACAAAAGGAGCACAACTCCGTGTCTGGACAGCCGCTCAAATCCCCGTCACTGAATCACTGCAGCGCGAGCTCTTAAATTGCCGACGGTGAATTGTCTGCTGGTGCGGAGAAAATCAACTCTAAATCAAAACACAAACAAGCAACAAAACACTAGAGGGTGACAAATAAAAAATAAATAAAAAATACACGGACATGTAACAACCTATTTCTAATAACTGATTTATTTTATCTTTGCCATGATGACAGTAAATAATATTTTACTTGATGTTTTTCAAGACACTTCTATACAGCTTAAAGTGACATTTAAAGGCTTAACTAGGTTAATAAGGTTAACTAGGCAGGTTAGAGTAAATAGGCGAGTTATTCTATAACGATGGTTTGTTCTGTAGACTATCGGAAAAAATTTTGTCCCAAAAATAGTTATTAAAAAATTCAAAACTGCTTTTATTCTAGCCAAAATAAAACAAGACTTTTTCTAGAAGAAAAAATATTATCAGACATACTGTGAAAATTTCCTTGCTCTGTCAAACATCATTTGTGAAATATTTAAAAAAGAAAAAAAATCAAAAGGGGGCTAATAATTCTGACTTCAACTGTATGTGCAGATATTTAATAAACATGCTATGTGAACATTCTTGTTTGTCTAAAAAACAATCCTGAAGTCACTTATAAATGTGTATTCCGTGCTGGAACGCTGTCTTTGTTTAGGTCCTTTTAACCTACTCAATGCCAGTTTAGCCAATTATATTTCAGCTCCCTGGGTTGCCTTACTGGAAAACATTGTAGTTTATTGAGTCACAGTTCTGAAGTTTAATTTCAAACGGTTTTAAGATCTGAGGTAAACTATCTGCTCCTGCTTTCAGTAGTATGGCAATAAATGTCATGTGAAATGGCATTTAAACTCATTATTAGCATTTAACACTGATTAAAGCACATGAGATGTACCTGAGGTGATCATTGTCATAGTTTTCTGTTGCAAGAAATCAAAGCTGTTTCTAAAACATGAATTCCAGGTAATGGTTAAAACAAAATTGGGGGGGAAATTAAATAGGGGCTCTAACAATTCAGGGGGCTAATAATTCTGACTTCAGCTGTATTAGATGTAATTTAAATAAATATATAAATTTGATTCACTGAAGCATGTATTGCACAAACTAACATTACAGAAAAATTTGACCCCCCTTTTAAACTTTAACACTGGATTTAAATCAATGTATAATTTGCACACTTAAACATGCATGATTATTTGATTTTCTGATGTTATTTTATTATGCATTTGGATAAGAAGTTTACATTTGTTTATTTATTGACCATGTTCATGCATTTTAATAAAACTCCTAAGTTTAAAGATAGATGAATTGACATTTTTGATACAGCATAAATACATAAATCTTAAATTAATGTCTATCTATACCTGCATTTCCTCTGGTATGTTTTATTTTCAGTCTCAAGTCTCAACAGTATTATCCAGCACAGCAACAGGCCATTTGATTCAGCTTTCTGTGCCCTGGTAGCATGAGCTTCAGCCTCTTTGTAGCTTTATTTGATTTGCTGCATCTAATCCAAGCGTGTTTACTCTTTCCTGAGCCAACATGCTCGTTTGACTTAACCGCGTTCGGTGTCAACCAATTTAACTGACTGAACTCTATCACAATCATTTCTGGCCAGACATGCTTAAGGGCCCCTGTTCGGGCACCTATAGTTGCTGTGAAGGTTTCTTCTAAAGCCTAATTCATTTTGTGTGTGTGTGTGTGTGTGTGTGTGTGCGCGTGTGTGTGTGTGTGTGTGTGTGTGTGTGTGTGTGTGTGTGTGTGTGTGTGTGTGTGTGTGTGTGTGTGTGTGTGCGTGTGTGTGTGTGTGTGTGTTTGTGTGTGTGTGTGTGTGTGTGTGTGTGTGTGTGTGTGTGCATGCGTGCGTGCGTGTGTGCTTTTAATTTTTTTAAGAGATATTTGACAGCTGCTCATCTCGTCCTTTTGTCAACATTTAGATGTCTGTTTTTCTAAAGCAGGTGCTGGTATAACTTTCAGATCAAGTCTTGTGTTAATGCAGTTCAACATCTTAAAGCTCAAGTGTATGATAACTGCTTTCTGTTATCCCAACATAACATGTAGGGACACTATATTTTGCAGGCATACAGTAATCCTTTGAGGCGGGTAAATACCAGAATTTCATTTAATCTTGTTTATGTAACAACACTGAGAAGCAAATCTGCATAAGATATTAAGATTTATTTGTCTTGAATGCATCTTGTTTCATCAGAGCTAAGTTTACTGAGTAAAAAAAATAATTTCTGATTACAAACAAAATCTTTGTGAAAGTTAATTTACAGGAATATGTATTTTATTAAGGATTTATATCTCACATAACAATACAAATTTACTCCGCTCAGGTGGTTACAAAGATTTATAAGTTTTGTTTTTCTACTATTGAACACAAGAGATAGTCTGAAATATGTTGGAAATCAGTAATCATTGGCATTCATA